GGATTTGACTTAAGGAGGGAATAACATGCACACTCAATTGGGTATGGAAATCTGTCCTACCTTACAGGAAACTAGGCGGGGAAGGGGCCAAGAGCTTAAGGGGATAATAGAGAGGAGAGAAGATTGGGAAAGAGGGTAATCAGAAACAAATACTTCTGAGGAGGGACAGGGTCAAAAGAAAGAATAGAATAAATGGGGGAGGGCAGGATAGGATTAAGGGAATAGAGCTAGTTTTTCACAGCTTGTCTACTATGGAAGTGTTTTGCATAACTGCACATGTATAACCTATATTGAATTGCTTGCCTTTTCAGTGAAGGTGGGTGGGGAGGGAGGAAGGGAAAAAATTTGGAACCCAAAGTTTTAAAAACACATGTTTTAAAAAAATGTTTTCACATTCAACTGGTAAATAAGAAATACAGGAAAATGGGGTACAGAAATTTATCCTGCCCTACAGGAAAATAGAAGCAAGTGGAAGGGGATAAGAGTAGGGGGGGAGAGATAGAAGGGAAGGCAGACTAGGGGAAGGGGGTATTCAGAATGCATGCCATCTTGGGGTGGGGGGAGGGGCGAGATGGGGTGAAAATTTGGAACTCAATTTTGGAACTCAAAATCTTGTGGAAGTAAATGTTGAAATGTTGAAAATGTTGAAAACTAAAAATAAATTTATTTTAAAAAATAAAAAAATAAAGAGAAAAAAACTTCCTCCATTAGTGCAGAAAAAAAATAAAGTGAATGAACTTGTGAAAAAAAACAAAAAACCAAAAAAAAATGGTCTCTGACTTCTTGAACTTAGAGCTATAATTATATTATATTGTACTGTATAAATGCATTAGTGATGCCTGAGAGAGAGGGTCATTAATGAGAGACAATCAAAGAAGACTTCATGGAAGGGGTGGCATTTGAGTTGAGTTTTAAAGCACTAGTAGTATTTTGATAGTTAAAAGGGGAAGGGGGGAGGCACTCTAGACACAGAGAATGGCCTGAACAAAAATATAAAGGCACAGAGTCACTTTTCCCACTCATCATGACCTCTAAACAGCCCAACTAATTCTTACTGTTCGCTAACAGAGGGGGAAAAAGTGTAATATATTTTTTAAAAAAGGAATATAAAAAATAATCCATAATCTAGGTTTATTTTTGAAGCATAAATAAAGCATTCTCTCTTTACCAGCCCTCCCCTAGACAACAGTTTTGGAATGGTTACAATGAATTATGTGCAAAGCAGACCATTTACTCATTGATAACTAAGTTGACTTTACTGGGAAAAAAAACCACAACAAAAATGTTTTTAAAAATTGTTTTAACATGTAATTGGGGAAAATAGATATATAAAAAAGAAACCCTTTAATTGCAGCAAGAAGTAATAACTCATATTTCTATAATATTTTATATTTTCCAAAGTACTTTTCTCACAGTAGTGCTCTGAAATAGGTAGTGCATTATTTTTCCTTACCTGGAGATCTTTGTTATCAAACTAGACCTAATCTGATCCTTTTAGATTAATTCTGACTAGTTTTGGTATAATGTGGCCTAAAACTGAGGATATGGGACAGAATAACTTGAAGGAAGTTCTTTATAAACAAACAAACAAACAAACAAACCAAAACACCTTTTTATTGTTGCTTTTTTGTCTTTAATTCCAAATTGTTCTCCAGAAGGATTGGACCATTCACAGCTTCATGAGCTGTGCTTTTGTGTGCCTGTCTTCCATAACCCTTTCTACATTTACTATTTTCATCTTTTGTCGTCTTTGCCAATCTGATGAGTGTGAGGTGAAAATTGAGAGTTGTTTTAACTTACATTTCTCTTATTATTAGTGATTAGTAACTTTTTTATATAGCTGTTTATGGCTTGCATTCCTTTTAAAAATCGATTGGCAAAGAAATTTAATATTGGCAAAGCTGTGAATTGGGTCAACCATTCTGGAAAGCAATTTAGAATTATGTTAGGAAAGATTAAAATGTTCATTCCTTTTGACTCCAGAGACCTTACTGCTAAACATATTCCCTAAGGAGGTCATTGATAAAAAGAAAGGTCCCAAGTTCACTAATATATTTATGGCAGCAATTTTTATAGTGATAAAGGCCTGGAAAGAAAGTAGATGCACATTGATTGGGAAATGGATAAACAAGTTGTGGTACATGAATATAATGAGATGTTGCTGGTTTTAATAAATAGCGAATTTGATGAATACAGAGAAGCATTGAAAACTTATGAACTGATGCAAACTGAAACAAGCAGAATCAGAATGGCTGTAAAAATGAATTTTTGTTGTTGTTATTTGTCTTTCATTCTCAAAGAGAACCATGACATTGGGAAAGTGACATGACTTACTAGTGAATTGGATTTAAATGAAGCAGGGCTCAGCAGTCACCAGCTGCTCTCTCTCCTACTGAGCCATTTATGTCCAGTGGCAAGATGTAGATCAGGACAACTGGAGATGGCCCCCACATGCAGTGGGAGATCTTGGCCTTTTTAAACTAAGGTCTTTGCCAGGTCTCAATTTGTCTGAGGCAGCCAGCTTGCAGATTAAACAATAACAACAACAATAGCATTTATATAGCACTTTAAAGATTACAAAGTGTTTTATAAATATTATCTCATTTTATCCTCACCAAAACTCTTTGGTCTAAGAGAGAGATAGCCAAATGACCATTCTTTTATTAAAAAACTGGCATTATTAATATAAAAATGGAAATAGAAAGAACAATAACAACAAAACAATTGAAACAAAATACTGTGATATTACAATGACTTAACTTTAAGCCAGCAAAAAGATATGAGGAGGCACTTCTCTTTGTCTATGTGTGGAAAACTCCGTACGTGTTGGTTAGTGTTGTGGAATTGTTTTTCTACCTCTATTTTTATTCTTTGTTACAAGGGTTGGTTTTCTGGGAGAAGGAAGAGATGTGTTAGGTTTGTTGTTGCTTAGTTGTTTCAGTCATGTGCAATTCTTGGTGACTTTATTTGGGATTTTCTTGACAGAAATGCTGGAGTGGTTTGCCATTTCCTTCTCCAGCTCATTTTACAAATGAGTAACAGAGTTTAAGTGACTTGCCCAGGGTCACCCAAGCTAGTAAGTGTCTGAGGCCAGATTTTAACTCAGGAAGATGAGTCTTCCTGACTCCAGACCTTGGACTCTATCTACTGCATCACCTAGCTGCCTCTTTTAGGAAATGTAGGTGATATAAAAACAGAATTTTAAAGGAAAAATAAAACTGCCTGTTTATATCCCTTGACTACTTCTCTATTGGGAAATGGCTCCTGTACTTAATAAGTTTGTGTCAATTCCCTATAAAACTTGGATTTCTGACCTTTGTTAAAGATATTTGCTGTAAAGATTTTTCCCCATATAACTTCTTTTCTTCTAATTCTAGCTGAATTGATTTGATTTGTGCAAAACTTTTTCAATTTTAATGAAATGGTTCACTTTATCTTTTACAATCGCCCTGTTCCTTTTGTATATAACAATTCTTCTCTGAAGCGTAGTTATCTACTGAACTAACTTTCTTTCATTCTTCTGGTTTTTTTTTTTAGTGGTGTGTCCTTTTATATTTAGTTACTATACAGGAAAATTTGGGGGCATTATTTCTACTCCCCTCAGTTTGAATGGATAATCAGAGACGCTTCAAGAGGGAAGTAGAGGAGAGGTGTCAAATTCTAGATCATTTGGTAGGCACAGCGAACAGACAGGTGTTGAATCTAATGACATTTCTTGGCATTTGCATAGAGGGAAACTGTATCTCTGTCCTGGGGAGGGTTGACCTTGTCTAACTGTGATCTGATGCAGCGCCATTTACAGAGGGTAAGATGATGAATCACTTCTTTTTAATGAGGCATTCTTATCTTTCATTTTAAGGTGATCGACCTGTAAGGGTTTATGCTGATGGCATATTTGACTTATTTCACTCTGGTCATGCCCGAGCCCTGATGCAAGCAAAGAACCTATTCCCCAACACATACCTTATTGTGGGAGGTAAGGAAAGATTTTTTGACTTTGTTCAGAAAGAAATGGTAAATACTAAGCATCTCTTCCTTTCTTTTTAATACTGAAATACAAAGTAGGAAGAACTATAATCAAGAGGATAGAACTTCTTTGCTTATTGAACAGAAATGCCTTATAATTCTTTCATTTACTTTTAGCTTAAGTTTCTTGAGTCATTGGAGCATCATTGATTTATTTTGTATTCTTGGCCCAGGTTTCCATTTCTTTTATTGGACCACTTGAGGTACTACAAGCCAATGTTGTTTATATAGGTACTGATCAACAGAACTAGGAATAGACAGCTAGGTTTGTGCCAGAACAGAGAGCTAAATTAAGTGTATTCATTCCTAGACCTTTATTGTATCCACTCTGGGAAAGTTCTTAACACAGAAAGTCCTTAGAATTCCTGTGGAGGGATGTGCATCTGCAGTTAGGAAAATGCATATCCAATTGCTTTAATTCTTGGGCTTAGCTCGATATGGAAAACTGTTCAGCATGCGGATTGGGTCATTTTCTAGGTGGAAAAGAATAAAAACTGGGGGTTGGGCAAGCAGAAGTGATTTTGTCTTGATAACTTAATGGAGCCCTTGGACTCAGTTTGCAGTGATGAGCTGACACACAATTTCAAGGGCTTCACCGTGATGAATGAAAATGAACGCTATGATGCAGTTCAGCACTGCCGCTATGTGGATGAGGTCGTGAGGAATGCCCCCTGGACACTAACACCTGAATTCCTGGCAGAGCATCAGGTAAGAGACTGGTTATATGTATCCATTCTTCATTTCCCATCCCTTTGCACTCTTAAGAGAGTGACACCTGGGCTTGTCCCTCCCCTCCTGTGGAATAGGATGAAGAATGTTTGTAGATGCTCACCGGAGCCCTAGACCTATCTTCAGGATCTGATATCCAGGAACCAAAGATGGGCAAAGAACTTTGTATTAATTTGACTTAGCCTGGATTTGGTTTTGTTGTTATTAATTTTGGGGTAAAATTCTGATGAGGAGCTGAAGGTAGGGTTTTCTCTTTAGTTTAGGAATTGAGCACTGTGATTCTTTATCCTATCTTAATTCCCATATTAAAATGAAGAATGCCATCATTGCTGGAAAAGTTGGGTGTAAAAGGTGAGGAAGCTTAATAGGGCAGGATGAAGGGCCTTGAACATGATAAGTTAAGGAACATATTTTCATTAGATGTGACTTTGGGCAAGTCTCATTAGCTTCTTGGTGACCCATTGCTTTCTAATACTTTAAGTTGCAAAGTAAGGGCTGGTCTCCATAGGTGGAGGGATTTTCCCTCCTGGAAGTTCCCTACACTAGTGAAATCACAAGTATAAGAAAAAAAATTTCTCTTCAGATAGAAGGCTATAGGAAACTACTAGATGAAGAAATGAAGAATAGTTATGGCTGAGATGCTGTGAAACAAGATTTAGGAAGGTTTTAGGGATAGGGGAGATCTGTTGGAGGCCCTTGGGAAAAGATAAAATCATCTGCTTGTTCTGCATTTTAAAGGAGTAAAGGAAAAATAGTGTGTGAGGTGCTTTTTAGTAGTTTAACTTGAGTAGATGCTAGGCAAAATTAGGAAGTTGATCTTTAGTATTCTCTCAGATTATCCATCAATTCCCCCACCCCCAACCCCCTTTACTTTTTTCTTGTAACATTGGTCAGCCTACGCTGGCTCTCATTCTTGCTCTCAACTAGCTATCAACTGATTGTTCCTTAGCTGATAATTAAGGTTCTAAGTGATATCTCCCCCTTTCCTCCCTCTCCCCTTTGGCAGCCCCATCCTTCCTTCTCAGGGAACAGATTCAGGGAACATTAACATTCTCTTGGATTTTTCTTGGTGATTGTACTTAACTGGCTGCTTTATTCTGTAGGCAGCTTATTCAAGTCAGGAGCAAGTTGGCCATGACCTGTGGCAACCACTAGTCCTACACCTTTCCCTTATTCCTCTTTAAAAGGGAGTAAATAAAGAAGAATTTGCTTTGCTACTCCTAAATGATGACTTTTCTACATCATCTATTATCATTGCAGTGAAATCCATCCAGTAAGATGGATTCTGGAATCAAAAAGCCTTTTTCTGAATTTGGCTTTTGGAGCTCAGCTGTAACTTTCATATTAGCCATAAAAAAATTTTTAGTTACTTTTTCACCTCATTTCATTGAATGATAAAAAGAGAGCCAATCAGTTAGAGATGAACTTGTTTCTTATCTAATTCTGCATTATCAGAGACCTTTACTTATCCAATCCTTCATGGGATTGGGAATAGGAGAGTTTTCTCATCTTCCTTCAAAGGACCAATGTGCTACTTATGGGGTTTACTAGAAGAGTCACAGGTCAGACACCATTCCTTGGGCAAAGATGGATTTCCATAATGTTTCAAGCTGTTGAAGCCAATAAATCTCACTTTTTTTTTTCTTTTTGGTGAAGCAGTCGGGTTAAGTGACTTGCCCAGGGTCACACAGCTAATAAGTGTCGAGTGTCTGAGGCTGGATTTGAACTCAAATAAATCTCACTTTTGCCACCATTCTCTGATGAAGTTGTTGGACTATCGGTTGTATAGTTTGTGAATGAATTAAGAAATGTATGAGTATGACAAAGAGAGGTTGGATACCAACCTCTGATTAGTGTCCTTTTCCTAGAAAGGTTACTGGCTCTTTTCAGATGGCAATTTTCCTGGGTTTGAAATATTTCCCTTTTTTTCAGATTGACTTTGTAGCCCATGATGACATCCCTTATTCTTCTGCTGGGAGTGATGATGTTTACAAACACATCAAAGAAGCAGGTGAGTCAATGTGAATCCTCAAATTGTGAGACATCAGTAGTAGCTGGAAAGGATTCTTTACAGAGGAGGAAGCTAGTTCCAAGACCATGACTTGTCTCTGGTCACATACGAGGCCTGAAGTGGAGCTGAGATCCTGTGGTTCCCAGGCTTGTCTTTTGGCATGGTGGTTCTCAACACTTTCTGCCCTTGCCTTCCTTTTGACAGCTGGTTTAATTTCAGGAAAACTTATTTACATATATTGACTTGCCTGTGTCTCAGATCCCAGATTCTTCCTAATCCCTGTGCCCTGCAGTCACCTCAATTTCTGCTCACAGTTCACGTTCCGTAATGTTGCCTTCCCATTCTGTGGAATCATTATTCTAAGTCTGAAGATTCCCTTTTGCAACTCAGCAGAGCTTAGGGTTCCCAGACTTTACTATAGCAATGCTATGGCTATACTGACTAGGCTTCCCTTATAAAGCAAATAAGTCCCATCATCTGGGCTAAACAAAGTCCTATCATCTGTGTATGTGTGTATGTGTATGTGTGTGTTTGTGCGTGTGTGTCATGGTGTTAGGCATGTTCGCGCCAACACAGAGGACAGAGGGTATATCCACATCAGACATCATCACCCGCATCGTTCGGGACTATGACGTATATGCAAGGCGGAACCTGCAGCGAGGATATACTGCCAAGGAGCTCAATGTCAGCTTCATCAATGTGAGTCATAGCCCTTGGCTCCTCCAGGGCCCTGTAGACTGTGTACCTGCGCAGCCTGACGGAACAGGGCTTGGTTTTTGTGTTTCACTATTTCAGCATCAATTTAAACCTTTTAAATGTGTGTTTATTTGCCTGTGGCGATGCACTAGGCTCAGTACACTGACGATTATGTAGATTCAGTCTCTGCCCTCTGAAAGTTCATAGTTCAGAAAATGTGCCCTAATGTATAAGAATATACAGACACCTGGATAAAGTCTATAAATCGGCATGTACATAAAAAGTAAAATATTTCTATTCCGTACATGTAAAAGGAAGGTGCTTTGATATTTGAAATTTAATAATTATTGAACAAATTTGACATTTGAAAGTTTTTTGCCTTTGAAAATCTGACTGATTATTTCTTTGTAGACATAATTCTCTTCGGAATTTAGAATGTAATGATAGTGTTACTAGCAGCTCTCTAGTATGTCATATTTATAGTGCTTTATGGTCAAAAGCGATTTCATACATATTATGATTCACTATTTTATTTGATTCTCAGAACTACTCAGTGAGATAGATACTATTAATATAGTCATTTTACATATAAGGAAGCTGAAACTGAAAGTTCAGTGATTTACTTGGGGACATTTGACTAGTTAGTGGTAGGGCCAGGATTGGACTTAAGGCCTTTGCCTTTACAACCAGCACACTTTGCACTAGACCAATGAGTGGTTCTCATACTTTTTGGCCTTGGGACCCCCAATTTTTTGTTGAAAATTATTGAAGACCCTGAAGAGCATTTGTTTATGTAGATGTTTTCTATTGATATTTACCATATTAGACATTAAAACAGATAACTTTTTAAAATGTTCACTAATTCATTTAAAAATAATAATAAATCCATTTCATGTTAATATAAATAACATATTTTTATGAAAATGCCATATTTTTTAAAACAGGGAAATTTGATGATAAGAATGGCATTGTTTTATATAGTTTTGCAAATCTTTTTAATGCCTGCCTTAATGGAAAGACAGCTGAAATCTCCTATCTGCTTCTGCATTTAGTCTGTTGCCCTATGTTGTTTTGGTTGACATATGTGAAGAATATCAAACCTCACATAGATATATAGTTGGAAAAGGGAGGAGTAGTATTTTAATAGGCAAATAATATATTAGTATTATTATGAAAATAGTTTTTACTTTGGAGACCCCCTGAAAGGGTCTCAAGGACCCTCAGAGTCTTTGGACCATACTTGGAAAACCACTGTACCAGATTATGCTGACTTTCTGTCCAACTTAATTAAGATGCCTTCAGATCTGAAGTGGATTATTCAGGCAATAAATAGACTTTGGCTACTCAAGGAGTTCCTGTATAGTTTTCTGTGAACTGAGAAGTATTTTATTCCCTCATTTTACTTAAGAACAAATTGAATCATAGAATGAAGAAGGATCTCAACTAGTGTTAGAGGCAGACCTAGAATTTATCACCTCCATTTCCCAGATTTGATCTCTAAGCTATGCAGTTGGCATTTTCTTGACAGTGTTACCAGTTGATCTTCCCATTTTCTGGACATCTCCATCAGAAATGGATGGTGTCTGAGCTGCTCATGCTTCAGGCTTGGGTTTTACACCTAGAGAATCCACCTATATTAGTGAAGTGTCTGCCTCTCTCTGCCTATCCTCTAAAATAAATAAATTGGGATGGGATATGGATGAAGATGGGATTCTTAATACAGGAAATTATAAACAAGATATGTCAGAAACTTTTCCCTTTTATAGCTCAGTCTAGGTGAGTATTTTTCAAAAGAATTATTTCCTTCTCCAGGAGAAGAAATACAACTTACAGGAACGAGTAGACAAAGTAAAGAAGAAGGTGAAAGATGTAGAGGAGAAGTCAAAGGAGTTTGTGCAGAAGGTGGAGGAGAAAAGCATTGACCTCATTCAGAAGTGGGAGGAGAAATCCCGAGAATTCATTGGAAACTTTCTGGAGATGTTTGGCCCAGAAGGAGCACTGGTATGATCTTTCTCCCTGCTTAGAGAGTACGTAAGCATTTGGACAGTGTTCCTGCTGCTTGAAAAAACTGGAGAATACTTGAACAGCAACCAAAACAAGACAAGAGTAGATCAGTCTGTTCTTCAGTGTTGAGTGCTTGATGATTGATAAAGGAGATGGTAGACCTTCTTCAGTCCTAGATCAGCAGCCCCAGAAGATCTGGTATCTCAGGAAGTCTTCAACCTCGTTTGGCTTGCTTCAGTGTTGTTCTTATAGTCAGAAGAAGAAGGATATTAGGTGAATTCTTACTTTTAGGAAATACACCTGTATGATCCTGAATATTAAAGAATGTGCTTTGGAAAAGGAAGTGTCCTTTCCAAATTATGTGACAGTGCCATATGTGACCATTTAGCAACAGAGATTTAGGCTAAATTCTAAGAAAGATTTCTTGAGGAGATTTGGATATTGGAAAGGATTATTTAAAGACCTTTTGCTCCCACCAGGGGAACTTTCAAAAACTTTTAAGACTGTGATAGATAGTTTTCAGTGTAAGTGGGTTGATCTGTAGTTTTGTTTGGAGGTAAAGGATTGTTGTAGAGATGGCTTTCTGAGAAGGTCCCTTTTACTTCTAGGCTTCTATGCTTATATAGTCAGCAGGTGGTTTACTATAGTATAGAACCTTTTAAAAATTTGTGCCTAGGGGGCAGCTAGGTGGCACAGTGGATAGAGCACCTGCCCTGAAGTCAGGAGGACCTGAGTTCAAATCCGGCCTCAAACCAGACACTTGACACTTACTAGCTGTGTGACCCTGGGCAAGTCACTTAACCCCAATGGCCTAAAAATTTTTTTTAAATTTTTTAAAAAAATATTTGTGCCTAGAAAGTGCCTAAAACCATTGCCAAACTTATGATTCTGTATCCTCGTGTGGCCTAAAGTCATCCTGCAAAATCAGTTCAAGGTGGTTACTTACTGAAGCCCAAGATAACTCACTGAGGCACTGGGTACTTACTAAAGTACCATGTGACCTAAAAGCAAGTCACTTGGCCTCCTTGAACCTTAATTTCTTCCCTTGTTACATGAAAGAGTTGGCATATATGACCTCCTAGTTATTTTCTAGCTCAAAATCTACAATCCATTAGTAGTGATCTAGCACCAACCAGAGGTTTCCTCTAACTTTCCTTTTGTTATCCTTTTCCTCCCCAGAAACACATGCTGAAAGAAGGAAAAGGCCGGATGCTTCAAGCCATCAGTCCCAAGCAGAGCCCAAGCAACAGCCCCACTCGTGAACGTTCCCCTTCTCCCTCCTTTCGATGGCCCTTCTCTGGCAAGACTTCTCCACCCTCCTCCCCAGCAAACCTGTCGGTACACAAGGCTGTTCAGTATGACATAAGTGAAGACGATGAAGAGGACTAATTTGTCATCCCATCTCCCTTCTTCCTTCCTCTGTCCTTGTCACCTCCAGCTGTCTTTTGAATTCCAGATTGTCAATTCCAACACTAAACTCAAGGACAGTTGTAGGCAAGGGAAGGAGGACCTGGGACGGAGATCAAAATAGCCTGTCCTCCAAAAGGCATCACCTTGAGAAGCAGAGGAGGGACTGCCTTAGAAGCCTCTCTTCCATTCCCCTGCACCGGCCTCCACGAGGACATTGCTTTACTGTTTGCATTCAGATAATCTTGAAGGGAAAATAATAGTTTTTATTAATTAAAAAAATAGCCTTTTAAATGTAATAAGTGGAGCCCCAACCAAGAGAGGAAAAAGATAGTATTGTTCCCAGAGGCCTTTTTTTCCCCTTAATTCACTATAATTTTATTTCTGCTCTGAAGCAGACTAGCTTGCCAAGTCCTTACACCTGATGTGAGCCATGCCAGATGTGGCTTAGGGAAAGTGATGTGAACTTCCTTATAATTTGATTTCCATTTTTTTCTATTAATTTTTGAAGGCAGAGCTGACCTCCTGAAGTCACAAATACCCTAAGCTCATTGCTGGCAAATGTGCTGAGGTGTAGTAGGGAGTTCTCAGAGGAAGGTCTCTGGGTCTGTTTCTTTTCACTTCTTGAGATGGATCTGCTGGAAATATGCTACCATCGTGCTCCCTGAGGACAATGAGTAGAGAGATAATTCATCAAGCAGTTTCCCTGAAATTTTAGTCTTTTCAGAAACTCATTTCCAATTTACCAAGCTGCCTAGGAGCCCTTGGTGGGCTTTTGCCTCTTTCTCTCTATGGCCTGCTTTTAGAGCACAGAGCATACTGTGATATTTATGTAGGTGTGCACTCACATGTACACATTCATATGCAAACTCAGCTTATAAACTGAATTCCAGTGGGGAAACAGTCTTGTACTCAACTATTCCCATATCTAGGACTTTACCTTGCTTCTACCAAAAAGGATACCACTGTGAGTGTTTGAAGGCTTTCAGTGTGTTCTTTTAATCCATGTTCCCACGCCCACATTTAATGATTATAGAAGAATCCTTGAAATTTGGGAACAAAGAGTCAAGGACCTGCCTCCCTTTCTCTAACCGTAGCCACACTCTCTCATCTCTTTTCCTCAGAACTTTCTTAACCTTGGTCCTCTTCATCTCTTCCTTCCCCTCTGAGAGACAGAGCAAACAGGGACTCTTCACCTCTGTCCTGCAAAGCAGAGCCCATGTTCCTTTCACAGGGGTGAGACCTGAGTTAGACCTCCCTCTCTGCCTTCCACCCACCGTTCACCTGGGCCTGGCTCAGCCCTCGGGGGTGCACCACTTGGCTCCTGCAGGTCCCAAGGAA